TATGTCCGTGTGTGTGTGATCTGAGACTCCAAACAAACAAGCTTCACTGGTTCTTAACAACTGCCGTTTAGATCCCAATAAGTATATTACTGCCATGACTGTGGCCTAACCTCTTTGTCTCTAATCAGGTTACACTGTGTTCAACCTGCAAGACCTGCAGTCTCTCAATGCATACAAGGTTACTATGAGGGAACATTCAGTCTTCTTGGACACATATAACTTGTATTTTTTTGAATGTAAAAGTGGCCTTTAGCTTCAATGCTTCCGGTGACCAAGACACAAGTGCTGCAGGGTTTGCCTCATTTGTTACATAACATAGTCTAGAAACTAAACTCTGTGATGAATTATTGACACCAGGCTAATTTTAACAAATGTACATGAATTATTTACACACCGACACACTTACAATTCTGTTGAAGAGTTCAAGTTCTCAGAGCTGCTTTTACCAGGGTGTATTTCTGTTGACCTTCAATGTACAGTATGTGTATTTGTGTGTGTGTGTGTGTCCTGTCTTGACAATGATAGAGGTTGGTGCTGTTCCCTTGCAGTCCAGAGATAAAGTGTCTCCCAGAGATTGATGTCAGCTGCTGTCACAACTGTGTATTTAAGGTGACATGATGCTGTTAAATGTTCCAGCATCAAAAATAGTTTATTTCTTTGTGTGTCTCCTAGTTTAAAGGCAAAATCATTTTTTAGATGTATTAAAAAGGAATATGAAGACGTGTTTTTTCTTTGCAATTTGATGAGTTTTGGACCTATTTAAGGAAGATATTTAATTCAGCAAGCGTTGTAAATGTGGGTCAGAAGACCTAACACATTTGGGGCGCAGTGGTTAGTGCGTGCGCCCCATGTATGGAGGCTGTGGTTCTCCAAACGGGCGGCCCAGGTTCCTGTGGCTCCTTTCCCGCTCCTCTCTCTCTCCCTGATTTACAACTCTATCCACTGTCTTATCTCTGCATTAAAGGAACCAAAAATCCCAAAAATAAATCTTAAAAAAAAAGAATGACAAAATATAACAAGGTACAAATACAAATACAAATACAAATACAAATACAAAATTACATGGAAATAATACGCAAATATATAATGAAGTGAGAATGCAAAATACATCATGCAAGATTCAGATCTAAAATTAATCAGATAATTTCTTCCTTTTTGAATCTTATAAAACATAAATTATCATATGCTGTTTTTATATCTTTTGTCGTCCTAAATGCATATAAACTTAAATATAGAGCAAAGACTAAATGACTTCACGTGTCAATATTATAGAATTTGTTATTGTTGAAATAAATCACATGTGCTTTATTATTACGAAATATAAAGACAATCATTTTTAGATTTTCTCCAGTGCTTTGTGTCCTTGAAGTTGCTCCTTTCTCTTCCCTGTTGGGATGAGGTAAGCCAAATTTAAGGTCCACTGCAGCTGAACTTTCTATCACTCTCTGTATACACGTGTAACAGACAAACCGTGGAAACATAAAAAGCACAAAATGTGAAAGATTGAATGTTAGAAAAGATGTCTTGAGCCTGTGAGACAATATTGTATCATGATCGTTGGTTCTCTCAATTACAAGCTACATCGGTTGAGGGCTCAATGGCGGGTGAAGGAGGTTTATGAGGTCTGGCATAAGTCCTTTTCTCTGCGGTGAGCATCTTGATTTGTGTGTCTGTGTGTGTGTGTGTGTGTGCGCATGTTTGTATCTAGAGTGTTACTGGGTCCAGACGGTTCCACTAATGTTAGGAGGTCCCCTCTTTGACGGGTAGACATCACTCAGTCCTGCAAAGTCTGATCTGGGCAACTTAAAAAACACTTTAAGGCAAATTAGAAACATTTTAAACAATTTTTTAGTGAGCAGAAACAGACGTCCACACTTGATCTTGTAGATTGATGGTCCACTGTTTGTAATATATACAAGAATGTGTGTGTTAGGCGTCTTAATTCTTACAGGTTTGCGTTTGCTGAGAGACGATAGTGAGAGAAGGGAATGGGAAATTAATAATAAATACAGGCGGAGATCAACTCTATCATCACAAACACACCTGTGCTTACATACTGAAGGTTTCAAGTTTGCGTCTGTGTGACATTGATGGTACAGACGGTTCAGCTGCAGTATGGGAGCCCCCCCCCCCCTTTGATCCTTCAAGTCCCCTCTTGGCAACTTCTTTAAAAAAATGATTCAAAACACATTAGAAGTTGTGTTATGGTAAAAGATCTTCACAGTGAATGTTCTAGTATTTCTTATTTATTTTCACAATTTACCCGAAACAGACGTCCACGCTGGGACAGTTTAGCTGCATTGTCCTCTGTTGGTGAAGCAAACATGTATGTGTGTGTGTTAAAGGGCTCACTTTGTACATGATTGAGTTCAGAGAGAAGCGAGTGAGAGACGGAAATGAGAAATCTGTAATAAGGGAAGGTTTTGAACCAGTCTTTCATCTTTAACCCACATCTGCCTTCACATAATAGAAATTTGAAGTTTGTGTGTGTGCGTAGGTGTGTCCTTATCCCACAAGTGACCTCCAATTTCCAGATTTAACTGAATGAAGGTCTGTTAATCAATCATTTCCAATTTGCTTAGGCTGAACAATCACTGTGTTTGATTAAGCAGTGTCACCGGTGCTGACATCGCTGGTATAACTTCCTCCGTGATGGCTTTTCCTGAAACAGGTCTCCATTCATCAAACATTTATATGAGGAGAGTCAATCTTCAGCCGCTTAAGACATTTTCCATGATAATGCAGTATTCATCAGGAGCCTCTTAGCTGAGGATCATTACGGTAAAGGCAGCTTTAGAGAACGGTGATTATGAATGATTTGTAGGAACAAGCGGGGTAACATAAAGCTGCAGGCAGAGGGGACATGATAATCACAACTGGAAGAACAAGGACAGAAAATATAGCTCTCTCCTGCCATCTGGTGGTTTGGAGAGGGACTTACAAATTAATACAGAGTTACAGGTTGCCATGTCAGTGTTTAAATGTAGTCTATAAGGGTTTGACTTCAGTCCTTTGTCACGTTTTCTTTAAATGAACATAAATGTGTGAACACAATTCTAGTTCAAGCTTACTTTTCAAACTTCTATTTTTTCTGCTCCACGTTTACAGTTTCAATTTAACCACCCACTACGATCACTCAAAGTTTATCGTGAAATATTCAAGAAAATGTATAAAATGTTAAAAATGTTCCCCTCTATGCAAAAAATGCTAAACACAATAACCACCATACACGTGGAACTAAGGCGTGATGATGATGGGAGAACATTTCATGTGTCACCCTGCAGAGAAACAAAATATAGTTTCAGCTCTAAGGGGAAGAACTGTATTTATACTTCAGCTTGCAGCTACGTGTTATTTATTTGTGATATTGTACCTATGCAATGATGGTGGTGAATGTGTACATGCTCACTAATTTTGCAAACATTGTCCAAAAAGAGTACATTTGTTCCTTGTTTTTGTGGTTTGGGGGGAGGGGGTGCTATTAAGCTTTATTCTTGTGTATGCCTCTGCACACATTTCAAAACACTTAGTAAACCTGTTTTTAAAAGTTCTATACAAATACAGCATTTTGATATAGCACTATATGACTATATATCACTATATTCCTAATTTAATAAAGGTCATATAAGAGCATAATCCATTTGTTTTTTTCCATTACAAACTTTCCATTTGACATATTCTGATGATATTGATAGTTTAGGAGGATTCTTTGAATATGTATCGTACACAATAAGACACTTATTGCAGTTAGTGGAATATTCTTTTTTTCTTTATTTCATAATTACTTAGCAGGAATGAAGTCTATTCAGAAATACGACAAAACACGTAACGGCAGGCTATGTGAAATGAGTGTGTTTATTTTGCTTGTACAGGCGTAACAGTTCAGTAAGTAAACATTTGTAAGATAATAAAACATAGCACGAGTACACACTCGGATGAATTGATGGATGTACGAAATTCAAACAGCAGCATAACACAAAAGAATGAGATTTGTTGTAATGTCAAGTATTTGCATAGTTCTATTTTACTATCATCTTACAAAAAAAATACACAAAGGCATTCAACAGCTCATTCCAAACTTTACATTTGTGTTTCTACGTCAAAACTGTTACCAAGCGTGAGGGACCAAATATTATGGTTTACAAAAAACAACAATATAGTTATCGTTATGAACAGTCTTTGAATAATCCAGTGGAAATGAAAGCTACATTGAAAGCTGTTTACCAGCTCCGGACATCCTTAAAGAATTAATCATAAGTAGAAATCATTGTATGTACTCACCTTTCTATTCTTATTTTTTTTTTTAAACAAACTGTATCTTCACATAGATAGCACCATGAAAATAGCACGTGTGTTAGCATGTGGTTATTTTCATTAGTAAAGTATTAGTATTAGAAGTTTTAAACTTCTTTACAAGACAATAACTATCAAGTTGACGTTACTTGTTAATATAAATTGATAATAATAATAAAAAAGTAATAACATGAAGTAAAACAAAAGATATGATTGGTGGATTTTCAAATATACAACGATCAGTGCAGATGATAATTTTATTGTTCACAAGTTTCAGCATCATTATTGTATTTGAGGCACTTCTTTTTGATTTAATGTATAAAAACGGAAAAATATTAAAGGGGACATATTAGGAAAAATCCACTTTTACAGTGTTTTTGAACATATATTTGGCTAACCTGAGTGTCTACCGACCCACAAAATGTGAAATAAACCCATCTAGTCCTTTGTTTGTGGTCTGCATAACTCTTAGAACACAGAGAAAAATGCTCCGTTACAAATTTGCTCTCTTTGTGACATCACAGTGGGATTCTGGTAAGAAAAAATACCCTCCCCTCCCCTGGCTTTTGCACAAGTCTGCCATTTTTAATTCTCACAGAGGAGTGATGTCTACGGGGAAAACTCAAGGGGGAGCTCATCGCATTTAAAGAGACACACACACCAAAACGGAGCGTTCTGAGAGAGCTGGTTTATACAGGGTCACTAACCTCCTCTGGTGCTTGATTAATGTTATATTTTGACTAAAGCACAGCACAGATGTTTCATTTAGACCACAGGGGAGTGTTTGAAAAGGGGGAAAGGGGTTAAATATGTCCCCTTTGAAGAGAGAATATTGTGTAAAACTAAAAAAATTGTGAAAAATGTCTCTTCTTCAAGGTGCCCTAAAGCGGATTTTAACACATTTTATTCAGAAGGAGAAACATGCAGCTGTGTAGGAGTATGTATTTTATTACTCCTGCCTCTTTCTTCTTCTCTGCCTCCTTTGTTAAAAGGCACTTCACAACAAGTTTATGCTTGGTTTTAAAATACGTCTTTGGACTTCCACATGTAGGAATGACATCAACCGAAAAACAAAGACTATGTCGTCCTATCTCAGGACCCTGAATAGCCGGCACAGGTATTTTAGTTCTCAAAATGATAATTTCTTTGCTGAAGGACTGACATATACTGTAAACTATGAGCTGAGGCCTTAACCTTCCAGTAGAGGTGATGTAGGAAGTAGCAAAATCCGAACTTAAGTGTCTGTCCCTTTTAGGAGGTTATAGAAACAGGTGTGAATAGGGGAATCTGGGTTATCTACTTGTATAAAAGATAACCAAACACATTTTAAAACCAAAGGTAAATGGTCCAAATAATTCAAGCCTTTAGGTGTTTGAATTTGTGTCCATAGTCCATAATGGTAAAAAGACTTCATCTATCGGTTACCAGTCAGTCTCACACAGAGACTTCGATGTCCTGCTTCAGTCCCTGTGTCCTCAGAGCTTCAGTTTCCATGTCTGCCTGATATTTATACCCCAAACCTTTAGCTGTTGCTCTAACCTTTTTGTTGCTGCCATCTGTTATTAACTTGCCTCATCACGACAGCTCTCACCTGTGTGTCCCCTTCACAGTTCCACGGTCCGTAAGTGACCACGAGGTGAAACTGCAGCCAACACACTCTCAGGTAAACACTCAGACTCCTCCGTGGTGCTGCCGCAACAAGACCAGTGGGGCTTCCCGGGGTGTCCTTTGTGACCGTGACCGCAGCCTTTAAATCCTCCTGCAGACCAACCAGAAGCAAGACAGACATGAAAACAGGAACAGATTTAGGGTTTTAAAGTCCTCTAGTATGAATAGGAATGAAAATTTTTTCTTGTTTTATTTTGCAAATTTAGTGTCCTACTTTTTAAAAATCATGAGCCAGAAAGCATGCGCAGGTACCAGTAAATAATTTCATATTTTTATAAAAGGAAACCCACACAAATGACAGTGTCGAGTCTTGAAATGTTCAACGACAGACTGTATAAAAAGATCGATGACATGACAGCATCCCAAAAGTGAAGCCAAAACATTTGGAGCTCCCCCTATTGACTGGCTGCAGTATAGGTCACAAGCTCCACCTCCTCTTCCATGTTAACAGATGGGAAACTGATCAAGCTAATAAATCAAAATACAGGTCAAATTCATTTTCCTCAAACATGGTTTCTGTCATTATAGTTGGTTCTTATGTTGATTTATGTACGAGTATTTTTCAAGTATTTATTGGGGCGACATTTTGGCTTCACGTTTGAACAACGGGAGGACTGCTGTTCATCTGTATACAGTTAATGTGTTCAAACCTTGAAGAAGGTTGACAGGAGGCAAAATAAGGGTTTAGGGAAACACTTACTTCTACAGTTGAATGATTACACCTGGAAGGAAAATGTTCCATTCACAAACTGTTTTCCCACAGAATGACAATGAAACTGTGGTCGAGACTTTAGATATATTTCTAGATTTAACATTTAAAAAACACAAATTATATCAAAACAACTGCAAAGGTAATAAATACTCACAGGAGGGATAAAATACCTCCCTACAGAAGACAGAACATGAATGCATAGGGTAGAGCTGCCAGGGGAAATAGTCCACGGACAAGAAGTTTCTTCAAGGCGTTACTTAGACATTATTCATGAATTGCATTGACCAACAATCTTGAAGTCTGTGAGGCTGATAGGGTCATTTTTAAGGATATTCCTTCCAAGCAATTCAGGGAAATCACATTCAAGAAAACAGGGCGTCTGACTGTATGGACTAACATAATGCCTTCACAGTGATCTGTTAACAGAATGGAGGTATGAAACAATTATATTAAATATGACGACAGGTAGAATAAAGACATCAGATTAAAGCACACTAGGAAAGTCTGATTTTTTTTAAATAACTGAATTCAGTCTGTCAAAATGTCGAAGATAAAAGTGTTAACTGTGGATCCAAATTGTTCTTCCATTTGTTGATTCTCCATGATCCTCTTCAAGCCAAACCATGTTTGTCATGTTTGTTCATTGTGATAAACTGAATGTAAACTGTGCAGACATTTGTGAGATTTCCTCTTTGTACCTGGCATGGTTCCTGGGCAGCCACAGCGAGCCTCTTTGGCTCCTCCGCTGGAGCAGAAGGAGCAGCAGTGAAACGTCCCGCTGTGACGCCTCAGCTTCCTCTTCACAGTCAGAGTAAACGGAGAACCCTGCAGGAACGATTCAGGCAGACACAAGGCTACATTTAATAAAAACAGAGAGGTGATAACTCAGGATGTCAGTCATGTATTTATCAAGCATCCCAGCAAGTGAATTTAACATCAGAGCAGCCATACAAAGTCTGTTTAATTTGTTTTTGCCTGGAGAAAATTTCATCTACTCGTGTTTAATTTGTCAGGATGATGAAAGCAGCCCTGAGGCGGTGCACTGTGAGCTGCTCGCAAAGCCACAACTCACAACTCCAACCAAACGTTACACTATCTGACCATACCAGCTGCAAGACTTCATGATTAATAATGTATAGAGAAGAGAAAATACAGTACTACAATCTATTTTGTTGTTTCGTTTTCCTACCTTGACATGTTGGGCTTTGACACAAACCCACACTGAGTAGACTCCTTGCTCTTTAGGTGTGTAAGAGACACGGTACGATCCATCACTGTTGTCAACCACTGACGTCTCCAACTTGCTGAAGGAAAACGGAACAAACCATCTTATTAACACACTCTGAGAACAAAGAACTGGTGACCCATTGTTTTATCCCATCTCAGAATTCATTGCACGCAAACAAGTAACAATTTTGAGCTTACACAGTTTGCACCCAAATCAACAACAATATCTTATCCTCCTTTATCTCACTCTTAGATCTCTTGTTGACACAATTGAGCGGGAGAGGTTCACCAACATTGGATCATCACCTTTGCCTAAGTGTCCAGACTTTTATCAACCAAAGGAGCTAAGCCCAACCTTCTGAAAACGGCCTAGTCCTGGGACTTGAGGGTCGACATGGTGTGAAGACTGCAGTTTTTCTGGAGGTGGTGACAACTAACCACCGCCCAGGTCATTGTATTGTGCTCAACCAAGGGCAAGATAATTGTTCTTATCAAACTGACAGTGCTGTGGGAGGAGGGTTGCAGAGAGGCCAGTGAGAGAAATGCCTTAAAAGTATCAGTCCCTGGTTTAGGAGTGCAAGGACAAAGGATGGCAGGCATGGTTGTTCCCTGTGGAAATTGGTTATAAAGATTTTCCTGCCAAGTCAGCCTGGCCATTCTCCTCAGCTCTGGGACTAGATGAAAGGGGCAAGAAAGAAGCAGCGGGCAGCATGAGGGAGGATATGGAGCCTCCTGCTGGATATGGAGTAGAAGGGAGGAGGGATTCTGGAGGTTAGGGGCGGACAGGAAGTGATTAGTCCATCACTGCCAGCCCACTAACCAGAGTGTTGTGGTTAAGGGTGGAAACACTAAGTGATGGTTGGGTACTACCTGATGACATCCGCTCCTGGCTGAAGTCTACATATACCTCTTAAGGTATCTGGAGTTTGCCCCCAACAGGTGTCTGTCCCAAGTAGGATGATTTGTCAACTGATCATTCCAAATAATATGCTCAGAAAACCGATCTCATTTTGACTTCCCCTGCAGAGGGACAACATCACCTCTTTGTATGTCGCTGAAGATCGTTTAATCGAAATGGCAAAAACTGAGAAAAATGTATTTTTGTGATTTTAGAGGAACCTTTAAAGGTGCATCAATGGAGATGACAAGAAAGGATTTAATCACAAATTAGAAAAAGACCTTGTGTGATGAATTTACATTTATTGTGAACAGTAAGATGGCTGCACAGATAGCGCCCCCTGTGCCTTTTTTTCCAGGACAATTCCTTTTTCCTGTTACTGGGTAAATAAATAAAATTATTCAAAAGCTAAAACTGTCCTTCACTCACCTGTTCTTCTTAACCTTGTGAACAATGCTGACCAGGACGTTCTCGCCCCCTCGTGACACCTGCTCCCCCGCCGAGTCTCTGCACACCAGGGTGAAGTAACCCGGCTGCCCCTCCTCTGCCCTCTGTACACCTGTGACCAAAAGAGGTTAGAGGTCATACTGGTGCGCGTAAAAACACACAAATACAATACATATGCAAAGTATTGACTTAAACACATCCACATTTCTTTAATCACGCCTTGGACATGTGTGCATTTATGGACATAAACAAAAACCAGCTGAACTTGAAGCAGGAAGTTTTTTTCTTAGCAAAAACAAAGACAGAAAATCTTGGGCACTTTTTTTTAAACCCAAATGTAAAAGCACCAACTCCCAATAAGGTTGCACTTAGTACATTTAAATTACTAGTCTATTAACCATTTTCATAACCAACCGAGTCTTTATTAAGTCCTTAAAATGTCAAGTAGTCAGAAGACTAGAAAAGCAGTCTACAAGCTCAATTCCATTTACCATTTATCAGCCAAACATCTGAAAATCACCTGTTAAATCAGTGACAGGGGAGGAATGGCGTTGTAACCTCGGACCTTAAATGATTGAAAATGCTGCCTCTTCTCAAACAAACAATTGCTGCTAACGCCGCCGGTGGAACTTAAATATTCCAGCAAGACAAATTTCATGGCGTGGATGTCTGGTAAAACAGGCTGCCGGGAGACAAGACGACAACAAAGAGACAAAGACCACACAGCCTACAGACAGACAGTAGATTTGGCGATTAAATGATTCTATTAAACTCTAAAAATCACCTTCAAAGCATATATTTAAATCAAAAATGAGAATATTCCTTTACATTTGGGCTACCTCTCCTCAAAAACAAGATCAGGGACAGTTCTTCTTGCATCGCTTAAATCCTCCTTCTGCCGCTGCAACAAGTACTACAATTTGCACGGCTGTTCTTTTCTTACCATCACCGCTGCTCTAATAGGTGTGAATTATCTGTGAATTTGTACGTGTGCTTGCTAATCCGAGTAAACCCAGCAGCTGTTCCCATTACAGACGCAGCTGTTCTGTCCCCCTTTTCACCTGTTGCTGTGCAGCCTCGTCGTCAAAATCCACCTCTTCATACCCTCTTATCACACACATACCCACACAGACACACAAACTGGACAGTCCTCCATATCTGTTGTCCAACACACAAATATACCTCAACATGAAAGGGTTAAACAACTTAATGGAAGCAAAAAAAAGAAGAAGCTTTAAACACACTTAAGTACAAAAGCAAACACAAAAACAAAGTGTGGATGAATGGAAAGTTCACTGCTGGACATTTGGCTTTATAAGGTTACAGTTTATAACGGACTCTAGCAAATGTCACACAACGTCAGCACGTTACTTTTACTTGCTGTGGGTTTCCATTTCCCGCACAGGTAATCACGTCTTAAAGCCAAGTCTTTCACAGGAATGAGCTGCTACAAATCTTGTCTTTTGTGTGTGTGTGTGTGTGTGTGTGTGTGTGTGTGTGTGTGTGTGTGTGTGTGTGTGTGTGTGTGTGTGTGTGTGTGTCAGTGTAAACACCCCCCTCAATGCACTGCCTCAAGGCTTGCTCAGTCACCTCAACATTCCTTCAGTCTCACAGGAGGAATGCCTTTGAACCAAAGCAGTAAGGTAACAACAGTGTTTGTCTGCTCCTGGAGAACTCAGTCTACACGGTCCTCACCCTCTCCACCGCATCTTCACCCTCTCCACCACGTCCTTACCCGACTCCCTCCACAGCCTGCCTGCAACGTCTCCCACAGGGGGGATCTCTAGAAATAGTTGCCAGGCTTTTGACAAAAAAATATCCATCAAAAAAGTTTGTCTGGGTGAAAATAATAAACTTGTAAAAGTTCAAAATGAATTCAAAACCCACATGTTACACCTGTTTACACACATGGATACTTTTATAACTAGGAAGAAAAAGGAGATCAGATATCTGAAAGATAAGAACGGAGATAATCTGTCAATAAATCCCATGAAATCTCCCAAATAAACCAAAGGTGTAAGTCTGTCCCGTCAGCACTGTTCTCTGCTAACGTTCCCCTGTGAATCACAGGCCTGAGTTCATTAGTTACAACCAAGGAGGTCATCTTTAATTGTTTGCCTATATTGGACAGGACAGCTGAAGAGAGACAGGAAGTGTGGGGGATGACGTGCAGCAAAGGGCTGAGGTTGGATTCGAACCCACAGCCGCTGCTATGAGGACTATAGCCATCATACACGGGGCAAGCTTCTTAACCATCTGGCTATCGGCGTCCCAACCTTTCAATCTTAATTACCCAAAAATTAAAAGCCCTTTATTTCCTTTTTCTGTCACTTTTGCTTGGTCTACCTTCGCCGTCGACGGTGCACTTGCTGAGGTCCATCGTCTTAGAGTTGATCACTCCCACCACCGGGTAGCCCTCCACCTCCCCCGCCGGCTCCCTGGGCAGGAAGCTGATGCTGCCGCTGTCATCGGGGGTGAAAGCTGCCGGGTGGGGGTTGTAGCTGCCCTCTGCCAGGCTCGTGAGTCTCCTCAGGGTCACTCCTTTGGCGCTGAGGATCTCAGCGTCTGAGCCGCAGCTCAGGAGACGCTCTGCGAACTCAACACCGCCGCCGACGTCCAGCAGAGCCTGCTGAAGCTGAGCCCTCTGCAGGTGGAGCTGGTTCCTGTTGGACGAGGACAGCCGCAGTTACAAATGGAGTCTCCCATGAGGTTTTTTCACACAATAAATCCACATGGCCTGAGGAGAGAGAACATGCAGTATCTTTTTCTCTGAAATGTAATGTGACTAATGTAGCTTTGAAGACACTCAGGTCAGGTTATTGGCAACGTTTGTCGTACCTGCGCTGCACACGGAGCTCCTCCAGGCGGCGCAGCAGAGACAGGCAGTGAGCCTCCACAGCGCTGGCGTAGGCTCGCGCAAACGTCCTTACTTCGTTTGCTGTTGCATCCACCCGTGCCTGCAAAGCCTCCTGGGATATGTCCACCTGTAATTTAATTCTTTTCGTTTTAGTTGAATAATGATATTGTGTGGATTCAGTGTGTAATAGTAAGCTGTATATTTGACATATTTTGACCCCTAAACAGTACAATCAGTCTCAAATCTGTTTTACATTCTGCAGCGAGTCCTTGAGAAGCTCCAGACGAGGTCGAAGGCGCACAGCGACCAGCTCTCGGATGCGGTCTCCGTGGCGATCGATGACATCGCTGGTGGGGGTGCAGCGGTGGTCACGGTGCAGCGTCGCTGAGCACTCCAGGCAGACAGGCAGGTCGCAGGGCTGGCAGAAGAGCCGGAGCTCCTGGCCCGGGTGGAGGGGGCAGAGGACGGGACGACACAGACGACCCCGAGACTTCAGCTCCTCCAGACGCTGTACGGAGTGAGATGCTGTTCGCTTCTGACGCCTGCAGAGGGGAGAGAAAACATGTACAGACACATGCATGAGTACCAGACTATACAATGGAATAAAAAACCATGTAATAGAACCTAACACATGCTGTGTGTCTGTCAGTGGAAGCACTAAACAAGGTAGAACTTAAATTACCTGTTAGGCCTGAGTAGAACAGAAAAGATCTGAATATATTACAGACTATTCACAATCAAATCTTGCAGTCTGGTGTGTCACTTAATGTGACAATTTAGAAAACATAACTGCATTTTATGTATCATGTTACATCAGCATATTTTGCACGATGCACCAATGCACTGTTTCATGTTTAGTCATGTACATATTAGTCTTTTCTCATTATGTTTATTGTTGATATTTAATGTTGTACCTTAAGAGAGCACAGTTCACCAAAGTTAAATTCCTTGTGTGTGTAAGCATACCTGGCCAATAAATCTGATTCTGAAAGTTAAAAATGAGGCTCGATTTTGGACTGACTAAAGATATTTCAGGATATTTCCAGTGTTACAGCTTAAACTGATAAAAAAAAAAAAAAAAAAAAAAAGGAAAAGACCTGATAGATTTATCACCACCAATGATAAATATTATAGACAAGAACCAAACAGAAACTACCTGTGTTAGACAAAAACAAAACCTACCCCTCCTGTAAACACAGGATTGGATTAAAATAGAACCGATTCTGCTTTTGGCTGGACAAAGGAACTTTAGAAACATTAGAAAGCAAAACAAATCAAAATGTAGTTTATTGAGCAAAGCAGCAAAGAATACAATGAAACAAAACAAAAAAAAAGGAGGTGGTTTGCGTTCACAATGTACAGATGCTGTAGTCCTCGAAGCAGGCGGCCCGGGTTTGAATCCAACCTGTGGATACTTTCACACATGTCATTCCCGACACTCTCTCTCTCTGATTTCCAAATCTTCCACTCTACTGTCACACCAATAAAGGCCCAAAAAGCCTAAAAATCAATCTTTAAAAACCCAATAATGACAGAATACCATAGAAACATGACATGCAAAACAGACTAGAAAACACAAAACAAAAGGTATAGTGTGCAGAATATCATAGACGTACATAACTTTACCCACTATAACTAATAGAATAGAACAGACTTCACCTGTGTGCCTGGCAGCAGAACTCGCACAGGTTGACGCTGCAGACCTCGCAGCGGCTCTCGGCGCTCCCTTCCCCGCAAAGGTCGCAACCCAGCGGGCCGTTCGTCAACAGGGTCTCCAGAAACACTTCATCCAGAGCGAGGTGGTCGGTGCTCAGCCCCTGAGGTCCGGACGGGGGGAGGTCCACCTCGGAGTCACACTGCGGGCAGAGGACCGTGACGGTGACGGCGGGTCGGTCCTCTTCCACACCCGTCCTGACCTCCGGAGAGTCCCGGCGCGAGGAGGAGGACACCGAGAAGGGCTCCAGCTGGCAGATACAGTCCGAGCAGAAGGTGTGCAGACAGGGGAGGATTTTAGGGTCCCGGTACAGGCGTTTACACACGTTACAAACCGCTTTTGGATTCACTATTGTTCCGTTTAGTTCGAGATCCGAGTTGAACGTCGGTTGTTCCCCGTTTTCTGCCTTTTCGGATCGAGACATTTTGAGTTTGTGGAGACTTCTGGTGCCAAAAAACAAACCAGTAACTACCACCATGAAACCCCCCCGAGCTCCACAAACCTGGCCCAACTCAAAGAAAACTTATTTTAAAACCCTCTTCTGTGTGAAAACCATCATATTAACGTTAATCATCATATTTCTACATTGTGAAAAAAGCAAACTTATGTGAATCTTATGCAGGTAAAGTCTCACTTTTCTTCGAAAAAGTGTGTGATGCGTTCAAAGACCGGTGGGACATAGGACACCTCGCTCACTACCGGACCAATAGGAAGCTTCTCGCTGACTTCTGGGGTTGGTCCAAAGACGTCCCAGGACTCTTTAACAGCAGTCTGTGACTTTGACTGACCCCATCTACTGGCAGGAGAAATAAACATGTTTTTTTTTTGTTTTTTTTTAATCATTTTCTAAGGAAGGCTGCTGTCCTTTTTTATAACAATGCAGTGTTCAAAGTGTGCTTAGTTTTCTTCAAAATGCCCTTTGTGGTTGGGAGTATCACTTGTTTTTTTAAAATCATTGAATGCACTTCATCACAGCTAGAGTTTACTAGTTTCATTTTTTATAACCCTGTGATAAAAAAAAAAAAAAAAGCATACATATAGGCTACAATAAACACTAACCTTTTTTTCATTTTTTAAAAAGAATTATTTTGGGGCATTTGTGCCTTTATTGGAGAGATAGGACAGTGGATAGAGTCTGAAATCAGGGAGAGAGAGGGGAATAACATGCAGGAAAGGAGCCACAGGTCGGACCTGAACCCGGGGCGCGTTGGAGGCTGTGGTCTTCCGGGTTGGTGGCCCGGGTCACGAGCAAAGCTGGAGAACACTAACTTAATTAGATAAATGCTTCATTGAGTCAAAGTCATTCTATGCTGAAATTGAATGAAAATCACAAAAAAATAATTAGTCAAGTATTCTTTTGATTTTTCTTCCAAAAGGATGGTTTATCCTGTTTATGTATTGTGATATGGTTAGACATATGAATGAAGAAAAGCGAATGCTGATAGAGATTTGTAATGCATAATGCACCTTTCCATACAACATGACACTTTGTGTACATCTGATAAAGTTAGAAGAAAGAAAATGCAGTGACATGGCAACAACACACACTTTATTAAACTTCAACAAGTATTAAAATATTCATATTTAATTGCTTTATTTCTCCTTTTAAAACATTGTTTCTATCAAATCTTAAATCAATGAATGTACAAACACACAGGAGTCTTTGTGTGATCAGGTAAGATAACAGGTGTAGAGGATGATGGACAGAGTGCTCAGGTAGATGGAAGCCAGCAGGGTCGATGCAGCGCTGAAGGTGAAGTACGTCCTCCCAAAGACTTCAGTGTCTGCAGAATAATAAAGATGTTTTTTTGAAAATCTTTTGGTAATACAAATATGGTAGACAAATCAAGTTGAAGAGATTGACCTGTTCTCATTTACTCCATAAAATGGGCCATCAAAAGCTGAATTCACACTGCAAGCCTCAATGCTAAATTCAGATTTTTTTCTTGGACACTTAAAGCTCCCTCAGAACCACTTACACGATGTCCCATGTTGAGTAATTCTCCACATGATGACAAACTGAACACTATTCCTGGAAATGATGTGCGAAGCAATCAAAACACATTATTTAAATTACCTGTAACTGTTGCCTTAGAAACGGAAGTCACCAGCTCATTTTCAATCCTGCAGGTGTAGGTGTCGCTGACGTTGACCGGCTGCAGCGTGCTGACCACTCTGTAAATCCCTGCAGAGTTCTGTTTGAGACTCGTGCTTCCATTCAGGATGTTCCCAGCCTCGTCTGACCACGTCACGTTTGGTTTTGGGAACCACCTGCTCGCCTCCGCCACCAGGGTGCCATTTGAGAACTTAAACTTGGGGGCTGTAAAGGCTTAAACAACAGAAGTGGTAGTTTGAGACATGAAAATATGGTGCCCGCAGCAGAATTGTGCATATCAACGCTATTGGCTTTTAAAACAGTAGACTGTAAATGTTAATGGACAAAGCGTGTCTTCACCCATCTGTTCCTGCAGGGGGCGCTGGAGTCCCATCGATGGTGGTCTCCATGCTGGAAATGCTGTCTCAGCCTAACTTTCAGTCAACCTAACGACAGGCTGAGAGCTGGAGCTGAGGTGGGTTTTAAGCCTCCTGACAAACCGTTAGACCGCACCCACCTGTCAATCAAGATAGCTCTGCGCCTTATTGTAAAAAACTCATATCCTTAATAAAGTCAAAATGAACCAGTTATCAAAAAATTCTCCCCCCGCATAGTGTGTGCAAATCAAGACATGAGCTCATCAGACCTATTTTGACTTTGCCAGACAGTTGAATTTTTTTTTTTTTTTTTTGAATACGACTTCCTGTGCTTCTGCAACCAGCCTCTAGTGGACACTGGAAGAACTGCACACCGGAGGTTGCAACTTGTATAAAACTAGATTTCCTAAAAATTCAGTGCAAGGTAAAAACATAAAATAAATATAGAATAGTAAAGATAGACTCTATAGATAGGTGGGTCAGAAGTAGATTAGAGTTGTTTTCTTTATCTCCCTACTTCAGATTTATAATGACAGGATTTAATACACTGTTATCTCTGGGATTAAAAGTTTCCTGTAGCCCTTTGACTTGTTTGTCAGTGCAAATTCCCCCACCACTGTACAGCTCCTTAATTCCAACTTTTGCACATATTTTGTTTCTGTTTTTAAACAGTTTTGAACTTTTTTTTATTAAGGTTTTTGACCATAACTCTACAGATGTTTATTAGTCCTTCTCTTTTTTTATGCTACTTTGTGTTATCAAAAATCACCAAGTTCCTTATATGTGTGTTTTGAATCTGGTAATCTCTAGCCATGTTTCCACCAAAAGTAACAGGGACCAGGGGGATACAAAGGTTCCTCCAGCCCCTTGAATGTGTGAAGAAAAAGCAAATCAGACTCCTTAAGTGTGAAAGAGCCTCCTTAATACTTGACCAATCTGTAATAAAGATCACTATTTTGTTTCCTTTCACTTCCTCTTTTCTCCTACCGCACCTCCTTAACTACACCCCTTGCTTTCTCATTTTTTCCCCCCGTCTCCTTGATTGGTTGCTGTTTGCACTCTATCACTCATTAGTTAGATTGAGGTCTCCTGATCATTGCTTATCTAAAGACTGCACTCCCTTGTGTCACTCCTTTGAGGATTTTGTTACCCTCTTTATTGAACCCTTTTGAACTGAATTGAAGAAATAATTCTAGTGCGACCACAAATTAAGTTCCCTAGCTGCATTCATGCATCCTTACCTGATGCCCATGGTGATAGTTGCCCATAAACTCTGAACCCTTCTCAACACAATTAGAAATGTCCAGCGCTACAATTCCCACCCCTAAAGTCCCCATACTTTGGTGGTGGGACTCAGCAGGGATCTTTTGAGGGATAAAATAAAGTCTCTGGTACTTCATTTAGATCCTGGTTGCTGCAGTGGAATTGCATTTTGCATCTCCTGAAGTTCTTAGTTCCCGAGGAAAGTTCCTGTGGTGAACTAGTCACTTAAAATTTAACAGATCTATATTGTCATCCTTCTATTTAATAACAACAACGTAGCACCATCGTATCTATATGAACGGAAGCTGACAATAAAGTGTAACACAGCTGGAATAATAATAAATAAAACCTAAAACTGTAAAGTTTGCATAAAGAGCTGTTCTCAGGGAGATTCATTTCACACAAAGCACACAGTGAAACAGGACAGACAGGAAAGTTGTCCTACCTGCCGTTCTGAGCTTAATGTTGACCATCCCTCCGCCCTCAGAGGAGCTGATCGTGCAGGTGTACTCCCCCTCGTCGCTGCTCCTCACGTCCCGCAGCAGCAAGGAGGCATTCCCAGAGCCCAAAGCCTCGGGGAACACCTGAGTCCGCCCTTTGAACTGCGAGTTCTGATCAACAAAATCTGCAGCTCCATCCTGATAATGATGAACCAGTCCTTTCAGGTTTGTCTTCTCCCAGGTGACCGACACCTGTCTCAGTTTGGCTAGTTCAATTTTGATGTTCAGGTTGCAGCTGAGGAGGATGTCCTCGCCGAGGTTGGCAATGGGCAGTGTGTTGGTGCTCGTCACCTCAGAGGACTCGTCTGTGGGAGGAAGACACCTGATTTAAAACACTTTAGGACTGTACTGTACACATCCCCTATGTATTGTTATATATTAGGGGTATACCTGTTTTATTTAGACGTTCCATCTTTTGACCTCAGGTAATTCACCTGTACTTGTCTACTAACTAAGGCACTCTTTTTCCCCCTATCTGGCTGCAGCATAGACTGAATATACAGATGGACAATGCACCTCAACCTCCTTCTATTGTACGAAGATGAAGCTAAAAAAAACCCCAAGTGACAGGTGATGCCACGGCCGGATCTTCTATTAAGACGATTAAGTGTTTTAATCGAAGAGAAAGAAGTGAAAAGTGAAAAGCAATGTGTGTATTTTTTTTCATTTTCCTCTTCTTGTGAAAATATTACATGGCTGTGTCCACAAAAATTTAACTTTTTACTGCACAAGGTTCCCATAAAAAATGATCAAGGAATTAAGGAAATTAAATTGTAAGTGAACTTTATTTGAAATAACACATTCAAACGCACACAAACATGGTTTAAAACACTTTGTGACATGTTGTCAAACACTAGAATGAAGCGCTTTGTAGTTTAGATAAACACAGTTAGTGCAGAACACACCCACTTGTCTCCCGAGGGCCTCAGAGTCATCCCTAATGATAACAGGATCTGACAAAGATAAACAAGTCTTACCTGAGAAAGCCAAGGCTAAGAGGAGGATGATGAGGGCTGAGAACAAGACGATGAGGATGATCATGCTACGTCAAAAGAAAAACACAAACAGGAAGTTTATGAAAACCGGACATGCTGCTCGGTAACATCAGATAAACTTCACAGAAAGCCAGATAAGAGGTTTAAATGCGAAACTTAAAAAATAGCATCTGGACTATAGCATTAACACTTTGACTGAAGCAAAGCTAAAGATTAGTTTTACAAACTGTCAATAGTGTTTGGCCTTAATGCTTGATTTTCAATTTTTACTGCTTTGGATCTAGTCAAAATCAAATTTCCATTAGTACCATGTCCTATTGTAACTTTCTGTATCATATCCTCCATCCATCCATCTATTATCTTTTACCACTTTTTTCATTTCAGGGTCGCAGAGAGGCGGGATACCGTACACCCTGGACTGTCCGATAGTCAATCACAAAGCTGATATATAGAGACAGACAATCAACAAGAATGTCTTTGTACTGTGGGAGGAAGCCGGAGTACCCTGAGAGAACCCACACATGCACAGGGAGAACATTCAAACTCCACACAGAGAGGCTCCATCTTATTGTACACTTTTCTATCATGTTGTTTTGGGCTGTCAGCATTAACTATCCATCCATCCATTTTCTTCCGCTTATCCGAAGAAATCGGATCGCGATGGGTCGCGGTGGCAGCAGGTGCAGTAAGTCAGCCCAGACTTCCCTCTCCCCAGCCACACTTTCCAGCTCCTCCTGGGGGATTCTGAGGCGTTCCCAGGCTAGACGGGATATATAATCCCTCCAGCGTGTTCTGGGTCTCCTCCCAGTTGGGCATGCCTGGAAAACCTCTAAAGGGAGGCGTCCAGGAAGCATCCTTAATAGGTGCCCAAACCACCTCAACTGGCTCCTTTCGATGCAAAGGAGCAGTGGCTCTACTCCGAGCTCCCCCCGAATGTCCGAGCTCCTCACCCTATCTCTAAGGCTGAGCCCAGCCACTTTCCGGAGGAAACTCATTTCGGCCGCTTGTATCCGTGATCTTATTCTTTCGGTCACTACCCATAGCTCATGACCATAGGTGAGGGTTGGAACGAGGATCGACCGGTAAATCGAGAGCTTTGCCTTCAGGCTCAGCTCCCTCTTCACCACAACGGTCCGGCACAACGCCTGCATTACTTCTGACGCCGGGCCAATCCTTCTGTCAATCTCACGTTCCATCCTACCCTCACTCGTGAACAAGACCCCGAGATACTTGAACTCCTCCACTTTGGGCAAGGACTCACTCCCCACCCGGAGAGAGCAATCCACTGTTTTTCGGCAGAGAACCATGGACTCAGACTTGGAGGTGCTAACCCTCATCCCAGCCGCTTCGCACTCAGCTGCAAACCGCCCCAATGCATGCTGGAGGTCCCAGCTTGAGGAAGCCAACAAAACCACGTCATCTGCAAAAAGCAGAGACGAGATTTTGAGGTCCCCAAACTGGAAACCCTCCTCCCCCTGGCTGTTTACTTGAGATCCTGTCTATGAAGATCACAAACAGGACCGGTGACAAGGGGCAACCCTGGCGGAGGCCAACACGCACTGGGAACGTGTCGGACTTTGTGCCAAGGATGCGGACACAGCTCCCACTTTGGTCATACAGGGACCGGATGGCTGTATGACCAACGGCCCCGGGACCCCATATTCCTGCAGTACCCCCCACATGATCCCCCGAGGGACACGGTCAAAAGCCTTCTCCAAATCCACAAAACACATGTAGACTGGATGGGCAAATTCCCATGCCCCCCCCCCCCCCCAAGAAGCCTTGCAAGGGTAAAGAGCTGGTCCACTGTCCCACGGCCGGGACGAAATCCACATTGTTCCTCCTGCATCCAAGGTTTGACAATCGGCCGGAGCCTCCTTTCCGGAGCATTAACTTCATAATCACAATAAATAAAGGTCTGAATTTAAAGCATTCATATTATTTAATTGCATTTATTGCATGCTATTTTGTCCCTTTAGGCACACCATAGTCCTTTCCATAATAATTTCCACCTCATGACATCAAACATTTATCTTAAAATGTTTTTTTTTTTCCAAGTGATCATTTTGGACAGCCGCAGAGAGACAGGCTATGGTGGTAGGAGAGAGTGGGGGACTAAGTGCAGCAAAGGGCTGAGGTCGGATTGAACCCACGATGGCCGTGACAAGGACTATAGCCTTCGTACACGGGGCATGCAACATACCCGCTAAGCTATCCAGCGTTTTCATCTGTTTTTATTTCCTTTTTCCATGGTTAAGTTAATGGGGTGACCTTCGTTCTACCAGCTGGTTTGAATTCAAACAGGAAGTAAAATACCTTCAGCTTAAGGATATACAAAAATTCAAAATAAAAGCCTAACAAAAACTTTTTAAATCCAAAAAATCAGATTTTTAAATATGCCTTTAAAATGAGATCAATTGCGATAAACTGGTGAAATTTAAGGACAAATCACAATTACAAAATTGTAATTGTTTGACAGCAAATTGTGTTTTCTATGGTTTCAGATTGTATATTTTACTATCACACTGAATTTGTTTTTGCAATGTATTGTATTACATTGTAACGTCACTTTTGTCATGCTTTTTTATCACGATATTATCTTTTTGTATCATGTCCTATCAAAACTTGTACTTTTGTATTGCATCTGATAGAATTGAATTCTTTTGTTTTTTATCGCATCAAATGACATTGCCTTGCATCTTTTGGTGTTTGGATTATGTCACATCATAATGTATTAACGTATTGTTTTATACTTTACTGCATCAACTTGCACTTTATTTTTCAGTATTTAATGATTCTAGCACTTTTCCTGTTTTTATTAAACTTTTTAAGTCATTTAAATCTCTTGTTACCCCCCCCCCCCCTTATTTTAAAGATTACTTATTTCTGACTAAAGCAGACTGCTTCATGTTTTCATAATGTAATCAGCAGAGAACACATTCAAACCTTAATGCCACACCTGTAGAAGATAATGTTCCCGAAGGAAGCCATAGTTGATGGGAAAAACCTCCTGAGACAGAAAAAAGAAAGAAAGAAAAAGTCAAGTCATGCTTCTCCAAAAATAATTCCCACGTACACTCCAGTTCCTAGAGTAGTTCTTCCTCCACAGAATTACAGTCGTCTGCATATTTTGCCTCCCTCACAGGAATTTTAACACAACACCATAAGTAAATATTACCTTAAAGGTGTGTGCTTCAGACATGTTGACATGTAGTCACATTAGTTAGTTTATCTTTACAGATAAAAGCTACACACCACTCATTTACCAAAGAAAAGGCTCTGTTTTCTTTGGTATATTTATATTTATTTATATTTTCTTTCATGAAATATTTTCTTCATGTTTTTATTTTACATGTAAAAAAAAAAATGTGATGCTTAAAGGTTATTTAAGTAATCAATGGCTGCTACTGGCTATTTAAGGATAATAAGTTAGTAAGCACAGAAGAATGCCTGACCCTCTGTTTCCTCCCACAGTTTACTCGAGGTGGAGAACATTTTGATGCAATAAGGTGAAACAAATTCAAAATAATACAAAGGTAAAGTGAACAAGAGAGAGAGAGACACTATCTGGTGTTTGAAACAAAGCAATAAGCACTAACCCTATCTTATCACCTTGGACAGAGATCCTCGGCTGAACAAACTCTAGCTTTTTTTTTTTACCACAAGTTGCCATACTAAATAAAAAAAAGTGTTTACTGTGGGTTGACTAAAACAAGAGGTAATACAATGCTCAACTCCAGGGTTTGGTACAATCTGGAATTACTGGATATGAGCTGAAAACTCTTTAAGAGAACCAATACCACTGCACGGTCACATTTAATGACCACAGAAAAATTCTGCCAACCTCAAGTCTGCATGTGATATGTGATGATATATAGGAATGACCAAGCTGTGCAATCAGGGGAAAATAAGTGGCAACGTTTCAGTTTCTATTTCAGTTTGTAAAGACAGACATTAACAGATGTTGTTCCATCTTTTTATTTGTATTTTTTAACTTTGCAATAAACGTTTCCGTTAAGTTAAGAGGAGGAGGAGGAGCAATATACACACAGTAATTACTTTAAAATAGCGCTATTGTATTGTATCTATTGTATGTACTGATACATTTAATAAGAATAACAATAAACGGCACATAGACGGGGGAGCTTCTTCATCCGCGGCTTCCACTTTATTCAACACACACCTGTGTACAGCAAGCCGGATCACAACAACAAACACTGCTTTACAGCAGCTACAGTAACTCTCTAGGGACACCTCACTCTAAAAGGGAGTAGATGTACAGTACATATAACAAACACACAACAGTCTGTTACACTATTTTTGGATAGAGAGGTGCATTTGTCCTCCAACTTTTTTTTAGAATATAGTGCAAGATCAGAACAAAAGTTATCACGACCACAAGTGACCACACGTGACATATATAGCAGATTATTTACAGAAACCCAACTTAATCCACCCATGAGAAAGCACATGGCAAAAGTGACAAGTAATTCTAACAGGCAGTCAGCTCAAGCAAGACCGGTTTTGGTACCAGATATTCTCTGGTGGTCAGATCTGCTCGGGGTCCTTTACCTGCTAGTGACGTTACCCAATATGATTGGCTGTTTGTATGCTGATTTAACAATGATCAGCATACCACTGGAGAAGTAATGGGGAATGATTTATGGTAAAAAAAATTACGATCTATGCGCTTTTATCATCTCAATAGGTGTCTGGGAAAAGCAGCTTCTGTTTTATATTCAAGAAGTGGAAGCATGGTGCCATCATAATGAAACAAACCAGGTGGGTACATTGTGGTTAAATAGTGGAACTGTGATTACTTACCAATTTCTTTATAAACTCCCAGTGAAATATTGACGCCCCATCTTATTCGGCTGCTAAAGAAGAGAGCCTCATCTTCTGTGTCGACAAGATATTCATAGTGAAAGAACAAAAGAAATGAAGCAGCTTTGCAACAGAATATCTTATTATTTACAGTCGGACTTCTAAAATCTTCGAGACAGCATGCCTCAATTTACTCATGATTTTCCTCACAGACTTGTCGCAGTTGTTACAAATGCTTTCAGTACGTTTCTGCTGGTTGTCATCTTCTGCATTCTGCAGTACACATTTGACATGGAATTTGTGTGTTCGTGCAGACCAGGCTTACATCCAAATGGATTTATCTACATCTTTCTCCCTCCTCTGATCCTTACCTGGTTTGTCATGGTCACTGAGCCCATCCACCAAAGGAGGATTTTTTCCAAATGGTATTGTTGCAGGTGTCAAGGAAACAACAATTGGTGTTTCAGTTCTTTAAAGTTGTTCTTGGACTATATTTGTCTGTTAGTTGTTTGGTTTGCCATGGTTCTGTGTGATGGAGACTGGTACTTCTGCCTGGAAACAAATCTGAACGCCTCACAGACTGGAATTCCTTGCAAAAGCCAAACAAATCTGACCTACGAGGAGTACCGCATCAAAGCAGAGTACAAGACAGCATCACTTGTAAGTATACTCAACATGTGTTTAACGAACGTTATTAGGAAACTTTGATGATATTGGAAGAAGATATTGGAGCACCCAAGTATCTCAGACGCAGACACTTTTCCTGAGAAAATGTACATTGTTAATTATGTTGCCAGATGTTGTTTAGAGACGTAGATACTTACTTTAAAGATCTGAAACTGGGAAATTGGTGTTTGATTAAGATCAACACAATTACAGCAACTACTGCACTCAAAAGGCAATCAAGATCCATCATCAGAGAACTGATTGTACAGCTGTCAAATATATAGAGCTGAATGGCCTGGCAAGACAAATGCAAGATATTTTTACAACACTTTTAGCTAAAGCACATCAGATCAAGTGTTGACCAAGCAGCAGCCTCTGGTGTTGAAATAAGAAGCCTATAAGGAGGTGTAAAAAAATAAAAACTGCAGTACCTGCAGTACCTGCAGTACCAGCCGCTGGCTCCAAAAACCAAGTGATCCCCATTAGGTCCTGGATTAAAGTGTCAATTTTGAAAGCAGAAACAAACATGTTTACAGCCTGGTTCAAAAAACAAATAACACCTCATTTTCTCATTTCTTTATAGGTTAAAACAGTAGGGTGGTGAAGTTTCTATGACTTATTTTGATACAAGAAATCTAAAGAGTTAAGCATACATTTGCATAATCAGGGGTGTTGTTTAGTTCAGGGGTTCCCAAACTTTTCAGCTATTGACTCCCAAAATAAGACTACAAGAGACTGGGGACCCCAACTGTCTCTTCCACACACATACCGTAAAATCCGGAATATAAGTCGCACCCTGTTTTGACGATTTATATTGTGTTCAGCGATGTCTACAACGTGCAGTTTCTGTGTTCCTCTTTTAGTTCCATCTGTTTTCACTTTCGGAAGTTTGCACTCCTACTAGCTGCAGTACGGTAGTTGAGCTCTCAGCCTGCAGTGAAAGTTGTGAGGCACAGACTCCTAGCTTGCGAGTGGCGCTGCCCGACTCCGCTGGCCACTCTTTAACTTTAATAATAAAGACTCTTTCAATCAAAAGAGCGCTCCACAATGTTTATTTACGGAACAGTATACCACTGTTTTCTGTAAATGCATGATTATCACCTTGTGAGGAAGAAAAGATGTGGAAAAAGTCGCAGGCTTTTAATCGCATCAGGTTGCAGTGATAGTGGCTGCTGCCCTGCTGTGATGACGGCGCGTGTTTCAGTATTTTATACTGGTATATTAGTCGCACCGGTGTATAAGACACAGCCAACTTTTAAGATGAAAAAAAAGGTATTAAAAGTACGTCTTATACACCAGATTTTACGGTAGGCTGGTAACACTGGTAATGCAAACGAACAACAGAAAAGAATACAATACTGTTCTAGTTTGATATAAAGTTAGATGGAGGTAGAATTTCCAATATGGTGACTGCCATCGTTGGGCTTCAAAATGCCTCTTCAGAAACCAATGAGTGAGACTGTGTCCATGTTTTATACAGTCTATAGTGTTGACCTGACTCCTTCAAAATATGGCATTTCCATTACAAATCGGTGAAGTTGTTCTTTGTGAATTTGTGAAGTTTTTATGAAAATGTTGTTCCATCCTTTCTCTTTCTGTTTGTTAAAGGAGCTGCTTTCTCTGTAAATGCTTGTTAAGTTGAGGAGCTCCTGATACAAACACCAAGTTTCCTCCAGCCGTCAATACACAGATTGGAAGACTGGAATATCTTCTCATAACTTTCATCTTCCAAGGATTGCAGGATTGTTGTGTTAGCTAGGCTATACGTTTCCCAGTTTCAGGTCTTTTATGCTTGGCTATGATAGGTTAGACTGAATTATTTGGTAATTATCTGTCAAAGTTAATTCTTTCTGTTTGGGTTCTTTTCCAGGACTACGGCCTCATTGCCATCTCTTCTTTTCTTGCTTTATGGATCATTGAAGCACTCATTAGGTTCTGTTGCACCAGAAGTAAGAGGTGCAAAAGTTGTTGCTGGTCCAAACATCCTTACTACAAGGTGGTCTATAAAGATCTTTTGGAAGACCAAGTGATAAACCATCTGAACGACGAGCTATCCAAAATAGCAAAAGAAAGAGCGGAGGCCATCTGTAAGCCCCAGCTTGAAATGATCAGGAAGAATGAGCTGAGATTGAATAATGATGGTGAGGTCAATGATGACGACCAAACACCTTTGGAAACCTGGTGGAACATTTCAGCCTCAGATTTCTACTTGGAAGAACCGGAGAGACAAGAGGACTCTTGAAGAACCGGAGAGACAAGAGGACTCTTGGGTTCATTGTTTGGCATGACCTCAGGCTATTATTCTGATACACTTTCACTCCCAACCTGCAGCATCTTAGTTTTGGTTAAATCATTTATAATAATTTTTGGTATAATAATAAAGTTTAAGTTGAAGTATATTCAAAAGTTTATTGACCGATGGATTGTAAGTGCAACCTCTTCTTCTAACTGAATATTTCTAAAGAGTTGAAACTCCTTGGAAAATATGGGAACTTCTTCAT